GACAATGTGAGCTTTAAGAATTTTTTCGAAAAGTCTCGAGAATATAGATGTAATGCTTATCGGCCCGTAGTTGGAAATATCCGAAGAAGTATCACTTTTACGTACAGGAGTAGCATATGAGTGCCTCCAGAGGCGAGGCCCCTGCGAGAACATAATAGATTGGTTGAACAAATACGAGAGGGGAAAGGCGATAGCATGAGAAACATTCTTTACGAATACAAATGGTATTTCATCCGGATACGGATACTGATATCGAATACGAGGTTACACTGGCCACTTCACTAAAAGGTTACAGATTTCATTCGGGTCAAAATAGGGGAATGTCTGCATTTTAGAACATACTGTAGGTGCGAATGCTGGGAGTTTATTGTCATCATTGGTATGCTTTTGTGAATTCCTTCGCAAAAGCATTAGCCTTATCTTGGTCATTCAACATGATTCTTCCATTTACCTTCAAATCAGAAAAGCTAGCTCTATCATGTAACTTAGAACCCAAATCTTTGTAAAAACGTTGCTTATCTTTTGGTTCGACTACTCTTTTTTCAATGCTCTTATTGTATTTAGATACTTTCTCAGAGAACACCTTTGAGAAAGCTCGGAATTCTGACCAGTCACCGCTCAGCTTGGCGTAATGTAATAGACACTCCTTGTGATCCATCATACTCCTAAGATAGGAGGGTAAGTTAGGCCTGTTGGGAAAGACGTAAGCTCATGGAACATACAACTCTATGGCATGCTTAAGAATATTCAAAAACATCAGATAGTTCTCATCAACTGAAGAAACCGACTCAAAGGAATCAACCCATAGCACATCAAAGAGATAATTCGTGATGTGAGAGTAATCACACTTTGAAAACATCCGTTTGAGAACGGGTTCACTAGACACTTCAACTCCTGTAATGTCAAAGGTGATGCTAAGGTGATCGCTTTCGCCAATTGGAGACTTGACTAAAACATTACCAATAAGATTCAGGTCATTACAGAAAAGCAAATCTAGGATACTAGAACCCCTGGTGAGTTCCTTTACGTACTGCATAAATCCATGACATGCAAGAGTATTGGACAACGGGTGTGTGATGTCTCTGGAAACGTTCCACTCAGCCCAGTTTATTTCCGGGAG